AACTTGTTACAAATGGCGCTGAAACGCATTATGGTACACGATTCGTGTACCAATGGTAAAATGTTTATTTTGTCTTAAATATTGGATATCAGAAGCCCATCTTTTCCAGGTAAGACCACAACACCAATGCTGATTTAAATTTTAAAAAAAATCGTGTTTTCATTGTCGAAGATTTTGGATGATATTGAGTTTCATCACTTCCACGGGAATCAAAACGTATCGAAATGGACTAATGGATTAAGATTCATAACTTATAAAAACAATGTAAAACGGTGTCTAGCGCCTCTCCAGAGCAGTCACCCTGCTTTATGCGCTACATTTTATTTAGAGCAACCAATTCTACTACCTTAGTTATATTCTCATGATGACGTAGTATAAACATACCACATTGAATATTCAGTTTAAAACCAGACACTATCAGGTCCAAAAATTATTCATATTGATAAGTTAAGTTCTAACCATTTCACATATTTGATGCCTTAGATAGATATAGATCACCCGGTGGAAGCCGACGTTATAATTTTTACGTCATATAGCCAGCGGTGGTGTAGCACCATAGGTCCTTTGTCTGACGTGGAGAGCGGGCGTAAATGTTGGAAAACCGGTCGCCACATCCTACGTACGACCCATGCATCTTTTCTTACTACATATTTTCTGTAGCCTTGTGGTCGTCTAGAATTTGTCTCTAGCTGTCTTTACTTCTGCTTCACGTTGTGTATTTACTTCTTACAGTTTCTTAAGACGTCTGTCTTACCAGGAATAACAATGCGACAGTTTGCGTCTACATATTTTATATATATATATAGCTGAATACAGGTATACAAGCATAATAGATAACAATACTAGCTAAAACCATTTCTCTACCCTAGCCAGCCTCGCGACTGTCTAGGAACTCAGATGTAAGCTCTCTGGAACCTAATAGAAGTCTGGCGAATTCTCACCAGTATCCTTATTTTGTATCTACTGGTTTTGGACATTCAATTATCCAATTGGTCAAATATGATGTAAATAATTATAGAGATTGGTTAATTGAGCCCAATGACGTCGACAACCCACCCTTATATGGTGGAATGGAATTTTACTGAAGAATATTCTCATGAGATATCTGTTAACATGTTGTTGACATAGAACCAGTTATGTTATGGCTCTACAAGTGTTTTTATATCACAATATGTCATTCAAACCCTAAGTTGATTTAAATATTTTAAGTACATATCACATATTATGCGAATATGTTATTTCTCGAGCAAAAATTCTACTAAAAGTATTACATTCGTCCCTTTCTTTAAGACTTTTTGCTCGGTATTGGGTAAAAGATCCCTTGAATCCTTTACAATAACCATACCAACATCTGTAGAATTATATAAATATTCATAAATGTAGCAGAAATCTAGAAAATCAACATATATCACCTCCCCCACTTGCAAGATTTATGCTAAATGAACAGGTAGGAGACTCTTAAAACTTCTATGTGCTAAACCCCATAATTATTAATGCAACAGGCAAATATCAATGATACTATACTATATAACAAAACTATGAAATTAATACACAAATAATCAAAAATCAAAAGTCAAAAGTTGCATGCAAAAGCTCTCCAAAAAAGTTCATCACTGTAAAATCCTATGAAAATCCACTAAGCCTAAACACAGAAAACACAAATTGTCTTTTTTTAAATCTTCAAGTGTCCTAATTTCAAAACACAAAAACACATCACATAATATTTATAAAGTTCAGGTTTCCCTTTAAATTCTATCTCAGGAAATGTCAATTTGGTAAACTGGTAAACCATTTCTTCTTCTTGGATTTGTATTGGTCTGTTTTAACTACCATAGTGTCAAGTTGAAACTTTCTTTTTCTTTTCTTCTAAGTATGATTGGTTTGTACAATTTTATCCGTCAATCAAACATGTCATTGCCTTCAGACCAAGAACTAACTATTCCTAAATTATTAAAACTTTATTTTGATATTAGTCTTATATTATTATTTCGAAAACTTACAAGAAAGTCACTCTTAATTAAAATTAAACTTTATTTTAGTATTAATAAACTTTGATGTGTCCCTTTAATTATAAATCTTCAAACTAACTTTAACCTCTTGACCTGAACTCGATATACAACTTTATAATTTCCGTTTCTGTTTTAGAATTCCTACACTGTTATTTCATATTTCACCGTCAGTAATGTGACCTTTTTGACCTAATCATTTACAATTTTGTATTTCGTTTTGACCACTATTTCCTCTTTTACATGTCAACCAAAACAACTATATTGTTATCATACACCACTAAATGTCTAAAACAAGCAGGGCCTTTGCCTATTTCAACACTAGTGTGATATAACATTATCGAGAATGTCAATCAAATATGGCCAGTATATGAATGACGTTCCATTATTATTTAATTTATCTAGAACTATATCCCAAGCAAATGAGTCCGGACATCATGTACTCAGAACATGTTCTATAAACACGACAACCAGAATATACCTAACTTTTAATAACACATATAGTTTACGATATCCTATATATTGTGACTTTCACACACGTCAAATTTAACACAGTGTTAGAACCTATTGTTTATAATAATCTGACCTAATGTCAAATTACACATTCTAATCATCTCATGTCGACAGCTTAAAGCAATTAGCAGTATATATTAAACGTTAATATTACGTTTCTAAGCAAAAATTTAATTACATAAAATCATATACGGACAAAATTTACCGTATAACTCCACTTTTCTAAAAAGTGTCATATTCTTAACTTAACCTCCTATTAAACTCGTATTGATGACTTTGCGATAATCTCACAATTTAACTAGCCATTAATTTTAGTTTTTTCCCAGGAAAACTATAACCAACATCCCTAGATGAACCATATGGGATTTTCAACATAACCTAACTTTTTAATCAAAAGTTAATTTACAACAACTCTAAGGCCTGGACTAAGGGCCTCAAAATTATATAATTAATTAACCACACATACGAACGACACAAAAAAACACAAATTAACGAATCACAGTAAAAACCACGGCCAACTAGGAAACTAGAGTTAATCACTCACAACGTCATCCTTAGCTCCGCCGTCGTTGTCACTGCGATCCGGAGACAACATTAGTTCCTTACTTTATTCCCTATTCCGTTTCCTTATCATTATTATTTTTTAAAACCTACTCCCTAAAGACCCTCACTTTAACTTTAATTTTACTCAAATTTACTACAGGTCACGTTAACCTGACAATATACACACCTAACCAGTGATATTATTTTGTTTAATAAACCTATCAATCTAAACTTATGAATGACTCTAATTTATTCTCTATACAGTTAAATTTTAAATACTTAGTTTCTAATCAGATTTTAACTTTAAATTAATATTATTTGGTCTTTAAACAAATTTAACACATTTAATTTACTAAACAAAATGTATTAACCCAATTTTTCGAATATCTTCACCAGATTTCTTTTTTTTCCACCAGACTTTTTCTGTTGCTGGATTGTACAGGTTTTCTTCTTAACGTCTTCAAATATGTATTTGTCTTCTAAAGTGACTTCTTACCCCAAAGGTCGAAACTTCAGCACGGCACCAAATCGAATATGTAGCACCATAGGCCTTTCTGTCTGACGTGGAGAGCGGACGAGGAAACCGGTCACCACATCCTGCGTGCGACCCATGTATCTTTTCTTACTACATATTTCTGTAGCCTTGTGATCGTCTAGAATTTGTCTCTAGCTGTCTTTACTTCTGCTTCACGTTGTGTATTTACTTCTTACAGTTTCTTAAGACGTCTGTCTTACCAGGAATAACAATGCGACAGTTTGCTTCTACATATTTTATATATATATATATAGCTGAATACAGGTATACAAGCATAATAGATAACAATACTAGCTAAAACCATTTCTCTACCCTAGCCAGCCTCGCGGCTGTCTAGGAACTCAGATGTAAGCTCTCTGGAACCTAATAGAAGTCTGGCGAATTCTCACCAGTATCCTAATTTTGTATCTACTGGTTTTGGACATTCAATTATCCAATTGGTCAAATATGATGTAAATAATTATAGAGATTGGTTAATTGAGCCCAATGACGTCGACAACCCACCCTTATATGGTGGAATGGAATTTTACTGAAGAATATTCTCATGAGATATCTGTTAACATGTTGTTGACATAGAACCAGTTATGTTATGGCTCTACAAGTGTTTTTATATCACAATATGTCATTCAAACCCTAAGTTGATTTAAATATTTTAAGTACATATCACATATTATATTTCTCGAGCAAAAATTCTACTGAAAGTATTACAGTGGATCCAAAAGAGGAACAGGAGTACCACTCTAGTGAAAACCTTTAGGTATATGGTAGAGAAATGTATAATTTTTGGAGGCGGTTAGATTTATAGCAATACTTGACACTTGACAGCCATGGCTAAATGAAATGAAATGAAATGGAGTTTAACGTCCTACTGTTCTGCTCCTAACCTGGGCTAATGAAGACGGGCATACGCCATACAGTGTGCTATGAGGGAAATTTTGCCCGGACAGCGGCACTACGGCCTACTCTTATATCGAATTTCAACTGCCAAGGGATCTTTTACGTGCACGCCAATGTGTACACGGGACATCGGTTTTTCGTCCCATCCGAACGACTAGACAGCTTTCCTTGTCAGCCCCTCCGTCCTGCATCACTGACAAGGGAGAACCACGCCGGAAAATCTGGATGAACTTTCTCGGCCAATGCAGGGATCGAACACCCAACCTCCAGGCTAGCGAGCTAGCGTCTTACCCACTTAGCCACGTGATCCCCCAGCCATGGCTAAAGGGCAAATTGTATATACCTACATAGATGTTAAGAGGGGCTAATCTTCTTTAGATTTGGCCAAAATAAAATATTGAATTTGATTCACCTGATGTGTTATTAATGATTGGTAATCTTTACACAATTCAATTTATGTTTCTAAAGATTGAATCTTAGTTTACTATGTGGACAAAAACACAACACTGGCTTAAGCTTTTTATACATCCAATAAAATAAATCAGTACATACAACCACGTGACATGTTTGACATAAATAAAAGAGGATAGGTGTCAGTTTATATGAGCAACAATCCAACATAATAAGGCCAAATAATACAACACGTGGATGAGGGTTACGCTCAGTGCAAACGCTCTATTAAACAAGCTAACCTGAAAGAACAAGGAACAAATTTCAAAACAGGTCAGGAATGCAGTAAATATATACCTTTTAAATATATACTTACATTTTTGTCCCGTGATTATCAATATAGGGTACTATTTCAGAGGAAGAAAATAGGATGCAATTTTTTCTATAAAATTCCCAAAAAAACCTTACACGCGATAAATTATAGAAAATCCTTGAATACTTAAAATCTGTAAACAAATCGCTATGAATTTATACAATCAGCGATGGAATAGAAGCTTTGTCTTAAATTTTACATACGGCCGAACTCGAACATCTCCGATGCAACTGTATTTTCTAATTAGGTCAAATGGAAATTTATAACAAGATAGTTAGTCATCATGGTGTTAATAGAACATGTATTGGGGACTGCCCAGAAAACTCGACGTTTCTAGGTAAATAGTTGACACCTAGAAAACTATACTTGTGATTTTTCCCAAATGGCACCCGGTGGAATATATACTCCAAGAAGCGACATCAAACGCTTGAAACCCGGTTGACAACTATTCTAGACCGCCCCTAATTATACTATTCAAAAAAAGTAGGGGATATTTGATTTTGGGGGCATAATACTAAAATATGCAAATGACTACGAAAAAAGTCACTATAGAACCTAACAGAAGAAACATTTCCAGTTACATGTGACGCCCAAACGCACCAATAGCTACCGCATGGAATGCAGGTGATGCTTGGGATCATCATGGGGGTCCAACCCAAGATTTGCACGACTCTGACTTTGAATGTTACAGTCATTGTGGCATTGAATTCCAGGGTGGAAACATCAGTTTAATTGTTTTAGTGACCAGAAAACAAATTTTGATATGCGTCGGCTTACCCAAAATGAAAGGTTACGTGCCCTTGGCATGCTACAGATCGGCACAACACAGGCGGTTGTGGCGCGGACGATGAATGTTTCTCAGTCTGTCATAAGCAGGCTATGGTCCAGATACCGTGATACACAATCTGTACAGGACAGACCACGCTCAGGTCGACCAAGGGCGACAACTCAAGCCCAGGATCGATTTATCCGTACCTTGGCCTTGAGAAATCGTGTCATCACAGCAAATCAGATCAGCGCTCGTCTTCAAACAGACACTGGTGTGAGAGTGAGTGGCCAGACGATTCGGAATCGACTGCATAGGGGTCACCTTCGCGCCCGACGTCCTCGCTTGATCCCTTGTTTGAGAGATCATCACATTCAGGCAAGACGTCGTTGGTGTAGGGATCGTCAACACTGGGATAATCGACGCTGGAGCAATGTGATGTTTTCAGATGAGTCAAGGTTCACTGTTGATTTTTTGGACAAACGTAGGAGGGTGTGGCGTCGTCGAAACGAGCGCTTCCAAGACGTTAACGTCATCAGACATGATCGATTTGGGGGTGGTTCTGTTATGGTGTGGGGAGGCATCACTGTTGCTGGAAGAACGGCTTTACATGTTGTTGCAGGGCGTGTTACAGGCCAGTACTACCGGGACAACATCTTGGCAGTCCATGTTGTGCCGTTCGCACGACGTAATGGCCGCCGTTTCATCTTCCAGGATGTCAACGCAAGATGTCACAGGGCCAGGATCGTTACAGGTTACCTCCAACAACAGAACATCACCACATTACCTTGGCCAGCACCGAGTCCCGACCTCTACCCCATCGAGCATGTCTGGGACATGCTTGGACAGAGGTTACGTCAACGTCAACAACGTCCTGCCAATGTCCAAGAACTTGCTGCTGCGTTGCAACAGGAATGGGACAATCTGGACCAAAATGACCTTAGACGTCTCATTAGGAGTATGCCACGTCGGATCAATGCTTGTTTGGCAAACAGAGGAGGATTTACCCGTTACTGACTTGGTTGTGATGCTGTGGTAACTTTGCTGTTTGACCCCGGGTATCATTTTACCCTTATAATGGTCAGTCTGTGCCTTACTTAGTCTAACGATCATTTGGAATAAATCGATGAATGTGAACTTCATTTCATTTTGTCATTTGTTTCTTCGTCAGTTTCATTAGGTGACTTTAATAACACTTAAAAATCAAATATCCCCTACTTTTTTTGAATAGTATAGATTGGAAATACTAACCGGCACTGTAATATATCTAATCATAATATAGGAATACTACTTACAGCAGCCACTATAATTATATAGGAAAGAATTATAAAGATCTACTATCCAACGTTTAATATTCTTGCTGTATAAGTATAATGACGGGAAACACCGCGCGGTTTAATATTTATATATCTATTGTATGAAAATATAGGAACAAATTATAAAGATTGGCAACAAGATGTTATTTGTATAGGTAATATTGTAACATCTACAAAGATATCTGGAATTAATAATTTCAGTATGTTAAAGTACAATAGTATGATTATAATGTAGGAAAAGACCGCAGGGGTCCACAGCTGTTATTGTTAAATATATTCTTGGTAACTTCGATATATCAGGCATCTCGATGGTAAGGGAAGCAACTTTTGTCTCTTGCCATTGTATAACGTCCGCTCCTCCTGGCGATGTTCCTAAACTGACTTCATAATACAGGTTCTTCCATGGGGACGTAAATAAATCTCTCCATGACATTTCCATAGATGTACCATCAAATGATCGGGCAATTAATAATTTTGAACCCGCTGAAATATATAGAATAGTAATAATAGTAACTTTATTCATTCAGAATATACCATTCAATATAAACCAGTAGTCATACTGCACAGTTCATTCAAATAATATTAAGAAAATGAGCATATTTCTAAAAACAGGGCCAAAACATCGGGTTAAACGCGCTATCGTTGCAAATTTACAGCTGAATAGTTGCACTAAAGTTTTTTCGAACTCCACTTCATAAACGAAATTAAAGATGCTCAAACGAAATCCAATTTCTGACATAATCCAATAAAAAAGTAAAGACTTTTTGTAACCCGTGGATAATTTTACACATCATAGATCAAATTTGAAATTTTTCTATTGGCAGAATGACTTATACAAACCTTGTAAAATTGGAGGTTGTGCTACAGATGATATTACTGTTGATATAGAATTGTCTTGTCTTCCTAATACATTAATAGTAGAAACACTAACATTATAGTTAGAGTTAGGTTGTAGTGATAAACTTCTTAATTTAGCCTGGTTATAACCGATCTCTGAAACTCGAACTTCCTTATCTAAATTATAACCTGGACCATACACCGATACCTGGTAATAAAAGAACATAATTCTAATACTTGTAACGACCAATGTAAATCGTGTAAAGAAGACAATCTGTTTCACAGAGGATTACGAAATTTTTCCAATAACTCTGTAAATGATGACTGCTTTCAACACCTGACGTCACATCACACGGCGTCAATCATTGGCTCAATGGCGCGTGCATTGTTTACATAAGACATTTACACTAAATAGGACATATTTTTCAAAACCTTTATTTATTTTTCTAAAGCTTAAAACAGATGTTCAACAATTTCATTTGCAGAACAAAAAAGTTAATCTGTGGGGCCAATTAAGCAGCATCGATGTAGCAGCCTGGCTAATATGTACGGCTGATCAGTTTTTCAGTCAGGGTGCTTATTCTAAACCGAAACACTAACTCGTTTTATTATGAAAAAAGACACTGCTAATTCTTGGCGTTCAAATGTGCACAGATAAGATTAAACGTCCATTTGTCTGGAATTTCTCATTTTCTTAAAAATTGAATACCTGTATAGACTTGGTACCAATTCTGGTATTTTCTAAATCCCATTTTAATCGTAAACTATTAGTCAATGGATAACAATTATCCTTCACCGGATATGCAGATACTCCATCTTGATAAATAGCGATTTGCCCCTCTGCTATGGCAGCCATTTTGTTTATAACCAGAAGAACGCCATCAGTAGTAGCTGTAGTTGGTAACCCAGCTTTATTATAACATCTTACAGTAGAATAAACTTGTTTAGAGTTCTGTATTTGATCAACGGGGAGTTCTACTTGAGCAAATGATTGTTTATCTGGTACAGGAGTAAATGGCTGTATATCAACACCGCCATGCGTTGAACCTAGTATGTAAAACAAATGAATAAACGTGCCAATAATTAAATAACCCCCCGCCCCTGCTCAGCTACATAAATTTTTTGTAAATCAACACTTTTATGAGAAAAGTTTCTCGGCCGTGTGCTTTGTCCTTTATCGTCAGATGTGGGACAGGATGGGCACTTAAAGCACGAGATAATGATATAAACATTATGTGATATCACAATTAATGCTTTGCATCCATGAGATTGAATCACAATGTCATTGTATTAATTCATAATAAAAATTGACGTCAAACGAGGTGTTGAATTTCTCTGTTTAAAAAGCTTAATGTGTATGTATATACGCCCAAATGACGATAGAGACCATGAGGTGGGGGGGGGGGATACATTGTCTCAGGAACCTGGCAAACCCCCTGCTGCAAAAATTCCTGGATCCGCCCCTGCCTACATGTTCTCTTGTTGATACAAATAGTAGATTGTATGTTGTAGAAATTAACAATAATTACAGCCAACCGTCGACTTAGGTTACATACATAGAGATACGGTATTTGTTATATGTTGTAATGCAAAATGAAATTGGATTTAACGTCCTACTGTTCTACATTTGGTGGGCTAATAAAGACGGGGATTCGCCATACAGTGGACCACGAGGGGAATCTCGTCTATAACCGATTAACAAATTACGTTATTCCAACGTTGAAAATAGTGAAGTATTACCTATAGCCCATTGACAATATTCTACTCCTGATTCTGGATCTCCTACTTTCCAGTTAACTGATATGAGTTTGGTTAGCTGGAAATTTACATCATCCTCTAAAATGATCAAAACATATTTAAATCAACAAAAGAGAAAGACAAACAAGAAACACTCGAGTTGATGCGAATTCGTCCTTCAGAGTTCTGATGACAAAGGTTACGTGGTTTTGATCAAATGTTAACTGTGACTGGCTTAGTAAACAGTAAAAAAAACTGTCATGTAATAAGCAAGTTTTAACCCTGAACTTGGTGTGGATAACCATTCTGATAATAACATAGGCTTTTGTCACTTTTATTTAAATAGCTGATTTTTCATTGTGGTGGGCAGTAATATTTTCCATTAAAGTACCCCACAATCAACATTTAATTTCTTACCTATACCATCGTTCATCTCTGATATTATTGGCGGAGTCATATCGGCAACAATACTCTCTGATTGGCTGACAGTTGTTAGTCCGGCGCCATTGGTTGACATCACCGTCAAGTAAAGTAATGTATTATGGGCTAAATTTAGACCAGATGCTGTAGCTTGCTGATTTCTGCCAACACTTGTGAACGACTGAATCTGGGTTCCACCTTTCACAGTTCCTGAAATTAAAATGATTGTTTTGATTGAAAACCGTTGTCAAAACGATTTAGAAAATAAGAATGCTCCCTGGGTAATTTTCCAATGTAATCAGTAAATATATTTGAAACCAAAATCAACTGGATTGCTAAATAAAATCTACAAAAACAGGAAATGTATTGCTATAACTAAATACCTACATGATTTAAACACTATTGTATTACTAATAGTCACTGATATATTTACATACAGTAGTACATGTATTCAAGCTAAACTTACCTAGTGCCCATTGATAATCTGTAATAGGACTTTGATCATCTTTAAAATGCCAGGTAAGATGAAGAGATGACCAATAAGGTCTAAACACTGTATGATGTATTAAATGATTAGAATCACTTGTTATATCTATATAATTAACTTGTTGTACATATACATCATCTACAGCTAATATCATATGTAATTTATTTGTACCAATTCTTATCACTTCTCTTGCTTCTCTTGGATAGAATACATAAGTAAATTTATTCCATAATATTAATGGCTGTTGGTTGATGTCACATATCCCCCGACATCGTTCTGGGTCAAGGCTGAAAGTGTGAGTTTCTTGTCCGAATTGCACGAAACCTTCCACGTTGTGATGCTGAATGCTACCATCATGTGGATATCCGACATGTACTATAACATGATAAGCACTTTGGGTGTTTAAATCAAAAACTGTTTGTTGAATATGACCTTTCACTTTAATATAGGCTCCACCCTCTTTTGAAACGGAAGGTTGTGATTGGATGATTTTAATACACGAGGTGGAGTCAATATACCAAGGAGCTGGTGTTTGGTCATCACATTCCTTATTTGATTCTGTCACGCCTTCTTCAAATGATGGATTGGCGATGAGATTTTCTCCAATATAATCTATATCAACCGGTACTGGGGGCGTGATATCAATTGTAATACCACCAGACACTGATACATCAGATTTCAACCCACTTCCATCTACAGCATACACTTTATTATAAATTTTCATACCTATAACAATAAAATACAGTAATGGTATTTGTTACGGTGGCACTAATACTTTAATAATAATATATCACATTTGAAAACAAAACACTCAGAAATTCATTCTTTGGAAACAGATGGCTTGAGCCGTTATGGGATGGTCTTGAGGTATATTATATTTGAGGGGACTCTTTCCAAAGGCATTTGAAGAGATAAAAAAAACTGTTTTCATTATCTTGCCCACTATACTACAGTAAGGGACCAGTATCACACGTGTCGGGGCAAGACAAAAATATGACGAGTGATATATCCCTACTGTAGTATAGATAATGTCACGATAATGACAGGATTTTTATTTAATACTTCAACTCTTCATCTAATCGAAATTGAGATTCGATTTTATTCAATTAATATGGAAAGTTTAGAATGCCTACCATGATTTAAAGGTGAGGTTAGGTTTACAGACACTCTAGTATTTAATCCTACATTCTTCCAGTCGTGTATATTACAATCTGTAGTACTAATACCAGTACCAATACACCAGTAATATTTAACTATACCAGTACCACTATCAGTAAAACCATACCACGATGATGATATAACTGTTGTAGAGTTTTGGTAATCTTTATCATAGATATCTGTACAATATGAAATAGTAAGAGACTGCATCCCCCAATTTATCATGGTTGTCTATAAAAAGCATGAATAATAAAACTTATCACTGTTACCACTGTTTGTCGTGTATTTTGTACACGGTGAACAGTCCATTTGCTGATTACACCATTTTGCCTATACCGTTTATTTAGGACCTCGAATTTTGTCTAATGGTTTGGATTGTTCGTACTTGGTTTTATCTTATTATTATCACAAATCAGGAAATTTCTTAGGGAAATGTCATGAAAATATGTATCAGATTTAAAAGATTAAAAAATTGAAATCGGCTAAAATAAGTCTATGAGTAGTGTTGGGTAATTTAAAGGTGGCCGCAACGTCCCCCCACCCCCAAGAACCCACAAATCTTTGAATAACACTGTTGATTGTAAATTTTCTTCTTGGAAAGAACATGACTTTTGTGCAAAGCGACCAAGATACCATGATCGTACGCAGACTAAGTTCAAGAAGCTGTAGGATTTAATAAATTTTTTTACGGTGTTCTGTTTTTTGGGGGTGCCACTCTATATTCAATAATTTGAATAGTTTACTTACCATTACCATCATATATAATACCGGAAGTGGGAGTTGTATTGTCTATTAATATGCCATCACTATTGGCCCAGCTCAGTAATCCTGCTTTATTATAAGCTAGTACAGTACTATAATATTCTCTATTCTCTTGTAGATTTAGATTAGTAGCTGTATAGACACTAATATTCCCAGGTACTCTTGTAGATGACTGATGAACGTTGTGGCCTACATTTCAGGAGAAAAAAACCCAAGACCGCTATTTATTACATTATTAAAGATGCAATATGTAAGTTTTAGATAAATAGATAATGAAACAGCAATAAAAAAAATATATTGAAAATTGCAGTTCTCTATTTTGAGGGAAGTTGTCAGTGTTTGAGGTTTTGCTTAAAATAGCGTAGTCTCGATTTTTTTTTAATGTAACCATTGTTATCGTTTTTCAAATCTTGACATTCCGATGGCCTAGAGAGTTGATTACGTGTTTTCTTGTGAATAAATTTCTAATAATTGATAACATTTGAGGCCAAAATAAAGTTTTGCAATCTTTAAGACTAACTATACTTAATAATGAGATTGGTCGGGACTGGTTCAAAAATATCTTTAGGAATGGAAACATCAGTTTAAAAATGTTGTCATACAATTAATTAATACATGTTTCCGTGAAACATTTAATGTGATTATGTTAGTATTAAAACCCACCTTGTGGATGGGTGCTTATATAAGGCTTAAAATAATCGAATCCATGAATTCCTCCTCTAAATTTATTCTTCCAACCAACAATAATCTGATTGCTGGATGTTTGGTAATCTAAATCCTTAACACTTAATATAGTTTCTAATTCTTTTATCTGGATAAAAAAATAGAGAAATATCTCAAAATCAAATCAATAATTCTATTTAAAATAGGTTAATCAAAACGGGAAAAATAGTCGATATAATGACAGTTATAATTATTAAATAGCTTGGTGTTTTTAACTTATTTTTAAGTACTTACATCAGCTCCCGCTATGTGACTGACACTCGGAGCAGACATCAGTGGTGTAATACCAGGAGACTTAAATATCGCATATTGATTTGCATTATACCATACCCTCACAAATACACTATATGTTACAGACTTATCTAAAACTTTAGCTGGAATAAATAAAATAATATTACGAAATTACATGTACTAGAAACACGGTGGGACCTTAAGCCGATCTCTGTGACACACCTTTACAAGCAAGAAGATTTTTGTTTATAGAGCTTTATACGTATGTTTCAATGTTTATAGTTGAATGTATTGATAAGGTATCCTACTGTGACTGAGTGAAGTTTGTGTGATTTGTTAATATTACATACTAATAAATATACAGTATTAATAATTGTTTCTTGAAAGAAATGAATAACATTTTTAAAAGGTATACCTGTAGGTAAAGTAATTATAGTTTCGGTATTTTCACCAACATCAAACCATGTCCTTTCTGTATCAGTGTCATATATTCCACTGGGTGAATTTTCACCGGAATGTCCGGCACTGCATTCATATCTAAAATACCATATGCTGAGTTTGAATTCAGGGTAATTGCTATGTAGTTAATAATGAACTAAACTGGTCTTGGCAGGCTGAAGCCTAGAGCACCATGATCTAGCTGGCCTGCGCCAAGTTGTATGATATTTTTGGTTTATTAAAGAGGTTTAATTTATCTTATAGATGAGAGGCCGTTTATTAAAGAGGTTTAATTTATCTAATTTAAATTACCTTATAGGAGAGATGCCTTGTGGGTTTATTATCCTCCATCTGGCAGCTAGAAAATTATCAGACGATGTGTAGTAAGACTGTGCAGCATCAGATGACATCAAATTAGTCATGTCAGTAACTTGGATAATGTTATTTGGATTCCCTGCAAGAATGAGTATAAATAAAACATTCAATCACATGGCGGATTGCATAAAATATACAAAAACATAGAAATACAGTAATAGGGTGGCATATAACATCTGGAATTACTTAAGGTAGACTAAACACGGTGGGCCATTACTGTAGCGAATGCCAAGGAAAAGCTGGCAGAAAAATTCACAAAGAATTAATTAATTAATATGAATAATTTTAAAGATACATTATGGGAGATTTGATAACGAGTTGGCAGTTTTCACTATAATAATTAAAAACTAGATAATGTAACGGCAATTTGCTGAATTTCATTCAAATTGATCCACTATGAACCGAGAACTAAGCGTTTGAAATTTTTGCCTAGCCTCTATCATCATTACTAAAGTCAGTACGATAAACAGCATAGACTCGATTATCCATTTAATCGTTAAATCGTGAACGAAAGTTATGCAGTAAATCGGCTCATAATCCACTTAAGATCACAGGCTAGCGATACCACCTAGAGTTGATTATGATCTGGATCGGTTAATTAATGTCTAATTAATAATTTAGATAACATTTCAGGCCTAAAGAAAGACCTGCAATTGACAGATTTAGCTCTTGCATAATGTATGTTTAAATAAAGTTGATAGATATATACCTGTTGAGATGTCTCTACAGTTGTCAGCATCTGAACATGTTTTGTCTTGTGCAGCACAAACACAATGTCCAAGACAATTATACGGTTGACATCTCCTGGCTAAATCTAACATTCCTCCTTCTACAAGTTCAAATTCAGAATGAGCAGGTTGACTTTTTAATCCAACCTATGTCAAAAATAAAAATGAAATGATATGTAACACAATAAAACGACTAGAAGTAAAACATATTGGTAGTTAATAGATACGGATACTGAAGTGGCAATTTTGCCTCAGTCTGATACATCCGATTTAGAGGTGTAATTTCTCTTGTTCTACTGTAGTACATATATGATATACTAGAAAATGATTAAATAGCAATAATTACCCCGTTAACAGCCCATACAGATATGAAAACAGAATTGCCCATATGAAGTGTCTTGGTAGTTATTGTAACTGATTGTACCACTCCTTCATCATTAAAATTATCTCCAGCCACATGTTGAAACGTGGTTTGTTGATAGCCCTGTTAAAACATTTTTTCATAAAAGAATTTCGTGAAGTAAAAAACAATATGTCATATTACCTAAGATTAATTGCAGACCGAAACCAAGCATTTTATTTATAAGATTTTGGGTGTTTGAATGCTGCTAATTTACGCCAAAAATTGTATTATGCTCAAGAATACCACATATTACCGTAATTAGAGATACTTGCCTCGTTGAGATCTGTAAAGAAAGGTTTGCTTCCAACACTGACTTTATACTCGGTTATACCAGTGTGTAGATCAGCAAATCCCAACCATTCTAACTTAATAGACGTAGTAGACCAGTGGTTCCAGTTATTCCTATCTCTGTTTAAGTTAGCGGCGTGGTCAGTATCAATGGCAAACATACCTGAAACAACATTCACTAATTATTTCATTGGGGAAGATACACAATTTGTAATATGGTAAAACTTTAATTCTCCAAAATGACCAGAACAAAAGCAAAACGACATCGAGTTCAGATTTTTCATAATTATCAGATTACTTATTAATCATTTTAGGGTGGAAAACAAATAAAAAAAAAATTAAAATTAAAATTGCCTGTTTTCTTAGAGTACGTGGATTTATTTAGATCAAGAATGAGTTATCAGATATCATGACATTTGTTCTTATATAATGTTATATAACTATTAGCACTTTTAATCGATACAAACAATACACGTACCTCTGGTAGGTGGTGTAGAATCAACTGTTATATCATCTGTAACACTCGACAGACACAAACCAGCTAAATTACAACCAATCACTTTAACTTTATATTTACTCCCATCGTGTAGAGCTAGACCAGAAAATGTAAACTCTGTTACCACACTAGGAATCTGAAACAAAAATAGTAATATATTCTCTAAAACTAAAAGTATTACAACTATACAATTTAACTTCGTCACCGTTCGTTAGACAAACCCGTGAAACCACTGCATTTTTAAAATAGTAATCTATCCCTTAAAAGTTTTCCAACTATGCAATTTTACTCAGGAACTGTCCAGTGGACATCCTCGTAATGCCACTGTATTTTTCTAAATTACTGAATTCATTATAGGCATGCTTATTTTTTTTATCAAAATGTTTCATTTTTCAAAAAACAAAATATGTTTAAAATTATCGATAGGACTTACCTCCATAGCTGAAGAATTAAAATCTCCCAATAAATGAGGTGAAATAGAAATGTATTGTCTTTCTATATCTGATTCATCATCAGTAAACTTCCATTCAATTTTAATACTAGATTTTGATATGGTAGTTGAAGGTAAAATAGAACTAAACGATGAGACGGGAACTGCCCTTTGTACTACTACTGGTAATGTTGTATCGATCTTAAAACCATTTGATGTAACTTCGCTGTATAAACCTAATAATATAAAATCTAGGTGCAGTGGCGGCTTTGAAATACACAAATAATACAAACGATGGTGATATAAATATAATAGTAATCCTATGCAATTTTACAAAAGAAAGATGTCGTTTCGTCTACAATGAAGCCGGGTCTAGAGGACATGCCCTCATGTTTCTATATTCTAGCCCGCAAAGGGGTAATAACTCTAACCAATTTTAGAAAGGGAACATATTTCGTGTAGGAACCCTTTTACTACTTATATTGCGAATTTATACATTGGGTCCACAACAGTAATGCTTGTTCAAGTAAGATATAACTTAAATTATTGTTTTTGTAAGCATCATTAGCGTCATTAAAATAATTTGAGTCGTACCTGCTTTATTGTAACATCTAACAGTAATATAAATTCTAGTATCAATAGGCAATAGCTTATTATCAGGTAAATTAGATCTATAGGCCAGTTCGACCACTGGTAAATCTTTAGGGCTAAGTAACTCTTCGCCTCCAATGGTTGTTCCTACTCTCCATTCATATCTCGCTATACCAGATTGTGCATCTTTAAACCCATGCCATTTGGCACCAACAAAGTTTCTGAAATCAGGATGACAATCCTTAAAAATTGCACACAACACATTATGTTAACTTATTCAGTAGTAGAATCTGATTCTGGAAGATAATAATTGCAACACTCTTATATAACCCTAACTGCTAAGAACCAATTTATAAATGTCAATCATCTAATTAAGATAAGTTCCCAGCTAAATCGTTCGGGCGATCGACAAGGGGGGTAGCATATGAGGTCATTTACAGGACAAATTGACGAAATTAAATATTGAATAGGCTTCTTCGTTTCACTAGTTTAAATGATGCATATCAACATCATACGGATAGGATTGTAACTTTTGTTAAATAGAATCTTCATATCAATAATGTAGGCATATAATATCAATTTTAAAACAATCAGTTGATAAATGTAGTCTTTAGAGTGTTCATAAGAAATTGTGGACGGACGGGCGGGCGAACGGGGGCGATTGCAATATACGACCACAATATATGGCTTATTGTAAAATGCCTTCTAAGACAATATCTACTGCAGCGGTCCCATAGCAGAGGAGACTCGATAAACGTGATCCAATCATATTCGTGAATCCTCATGTCTATTTTATAGTTTGTTCTGAAAACTAAACAGACTTGATAATCGTGTTTCAATTACCTGGTTGCTTGGAATTCTACATCTAAATCTTTCGTTCCATCTAAAACTCGTCCCACGTCCGGTGGTGTCACGTCAATTATTACCCCGTCAGAAATGGCCGACGTACACATGTCAGCCATATTGCACCCTGTTACCATGGTGATATATTTTGTTCCAGGAGTAAATTTGGACGGTGGAAAAGTAAAATCTGAAATATGTATCGGTTTTTAAAATTTATTAAAAGATCTACTTAATTTATTTGAAAGAGAATAGTCCATATTTTTACAATAAAACTTAACTAAAATCTGAAATATCGGTTGTTACGACATCTACCTATTTTATTTTAAAGAAAATAGCCCCTATTTTTACAATAAAACTAAACCATATCATCAATAGTTCTATGACAGAAAAGTTGGATTGTGCTTTGTAATAATATTTTCCTTACGTGTAGATATTCCTGTTTTGATTTCTGGAATTATGTCATCACTATCATCACAGGTACCAACTTTAACAGTATAGTATTGCATGGATGAATGGGGATCGTGGAATCCTTGCCATCTAACAGAAAGTAGTGATTGGTTAGTTATATAATCTACGTCATCTCCGGTATAGTTTGTATTAAGAATATCGATGACATGTCCTGTGGTAGGAGGAGTTGTGTCTACTGTCACTGGATGAGATATTAATGTAGTAGATAACCCTGCACCATTAATGGCCTGAAACACCACAATAGACAAGAGTTATTGTAAAATTGGTATATAGAATACAAAGATAACCAGCATATAGCATGAATTTGAAAAATTTTCTATTGGAAATTACATCAGATATAAGCATACCGTCTTAACGATTAGTGTCAATTTCTTTGAAATAATTAAGGGATAAATAATAAAGCACAATGTTTATTCCCAACTTATCTATAGTTACATCAAGCATAATTCATTAAACTTTTTTTCTATCTAAAAACGTAATGTAAAATTACAACAAGAGATATACCTGAACTGTTACGTAATAAACGTGTCCATCTTGCAATTTGTGTTCTAGGTTCGCTTCATCACAATCATTATCGGTTATCATATAAGCCCTAATGTTTTCATGACCTGGTCTAGTACCTATTGCCCACCGATACTGACTTATACCACTTTCGGTGTCTTTAAATGATCCACTCCAACTGTAAATAAATCAAATACAAGGGCTCAGGCTCTTTAATACATTATTTACAATTAATTTCAACACCAACATCCTTGTGCTATGAGGGGAGACTTCCAACTGCCAAGGGATCTTTTACATGGGATCGAAACCGAGGCATTCCGATCTATAAATGATAAAAGGTATTGTACACGTGTCGAGGTAGGCTTACTATTTCACGCCTTCAAAAACACCGGTAACCAAATACTTTGGCTGGGGTTAATGGCTTTCATTTTATTTTGTTTACTAACACTAGATTCTATATAAACCTACCACACAGACAATACATCATTTGACTGTATATATGTATTAGTAAATTGTATAGGTTTAGATGTAGTTTCTGGTGGACTATTATCAATAATGAAACCTTCAGATGAAACGATTTTTGTCCTGTTTACAAAATCAATTGCTGAAAAAAAAACAAAAAACAAAACAATAATAGCACTAAACAAGCAATAATGGAGCCAGCTTATGGAACAAAGGGATGACAGAAATGGGTGAATACTAACGAACGAGCAATGTTGCCAAGCGGGCAATAGAAATCAATTTATTTTGTATTGAAGATTGGGGTGTGTAGGTTTATAATTAATTACACGACTTTAATACATGATTAACAAATTTAATCTAATGGTTTCTATTTGCTATTATTTAAGTTATACATTTTTTATAGTTCTAATTGTGAAACAGAAACATGAATTTATACCTACCTTCTATAGTGACGTAATAAGTGTGGCCATTTTGTAAAGAAAGATGGTGGAATATTTTATGATTTATCAAACCAACGTTATGTTTAGTTACAATATCTGCACCTCCCTCTATAGAACCTTTATATGTAAAAGAAAATTTACAAAATGTAAAGAACAGCATATTTACAGATTGACAATACGGTATGTTCGTTCACTTTTAACTTGTTGATTCAGCGATAACTGTCGTATCCTTGAAAGAAATTAACCTTACCGATATATAAATGATATTTTGATATTCCACTTGGATGAACAGTTTTTCCACCATTTTCTTCTACGTCAAGAAAACTATCCCAGTAAACAGCTACATCACTGTCAGATGACTGAAATAATATATTGGTTATTCATATAAAACTATCACAAAAACATTAATTCAGTACTGATGTAAAGTATATTAAAACAGATATAATCAAATACTAGAAACAACGGATAGCTATATAGCATATTATCCTAGGATGGAACCATTATCCCGAAACACTATTAATCGGGCTAACAGGGAATTACAAGGAATGAATGACACACCAAATATTATACGTCTTCGAGTATGCTTAGATAGAGATAATTGGGGTTCGACTATATTTATATAGAACTATTTACCTGGTATTTAAAATCTTTCAAGTTCTCCACCCACACCCGACCACCATTTGGTGGAGTCAAATCAACAGTTACTCCATCACTACATGCGTTTACTTCTTCCAAATCTTCCGTCCATTTTTCATGACTAGCATCAACAGCATCAGCATGGATACAGATATAATACCGCCGTCCGTGTTTTAAAGTATTTTGAGTTAATACATTGATGTATTCGTTTTCTGTTAAAAGAAACATAAAGAAATGCGGTAAAACTGGAGTCTTAATGATGAAGTCAACGAAGACTCCTTCAAAGTACGTATCCATATTATAGTTGTTAGGCTTAAAGAAATGGCACAAGGAATCAATGGAATAAAGCCTTAATGACATTTGAAGATTACCGAAACTCCCTCACCGGTTTGTCCACACTTTATAACATCTGGATGTGAACAAGGATCTCTTATCATCATCTTCGGTTGAGTAAAATGTGTTAGAGTAGAGAATGCTGGGTCTTCTAGTAAACCCCAAGTATAGTTTCTATGTCTTAATGTGAGCCATACGGCTGATATAATATTTTTATAAGGTGTATAGTCCACATCTGGTTTAGACCAGACTGCGTTCTGATCCAGAGAAATTGATGTTCCTAGTTCATTTGTGTTGGGATCTGAAATACAAAACAAACAACATATTCAAATTATTCAAACGCTACTCATAAAAGGGTGGACATGTCTGCGATATCACCTCGGTGGAAGCGGACGTAAAATATAACTAACTAACAAAATGAAATGAAATGGGGTTTAACGTCCTACTGTTCTGCTTCTAACCTGGGCTAATGAAGACGGGCATACGCCATACAGTGTGCTATGACGGAAATTTTGCCCGGACAGCGGCACTACGGCCTACTCTTATATCGAATTCCAACTGCCAAGGGATCTTTTACGTGCACGCCAATGTGTACACGGGACCTCGGTTTTTCGTCCCATCCCAACGACTAGACAGCTTTCCTTGTCAGCCCCTCCGTCCTGCAACTAACTAAAAACAACATAATTATTGTATCTGTCACAACAGCGAGTGTGTATTTGGGTGTGTGTGTGTGTGTGTGTGTGTGTGTGTTTATTTCAATTTCACGATATATTCAAAGAGTACTTACCGTTATTTAATGGCTGTCCTATAGCATCTATAATAATAGCCGGTATAATTAATACCGGATCTACAGATGAACAGTTTTTAATATCCGACGATATTATTGTTGATAAACCAGCTTTATTAAATATTCGTACAGCCAATCTTCTGCATTCACTAAAATCAACTTCACCATGTAAATTAATTCTAAACTGAAACTAAGAAATAAAAAAATATTACATGAAATAGTTTGTCTTTATGGCACAATTTCGAACAAAGGTTCGCGTGGTTGCATAGTTATCATGTTGAAAAGAACCACACAAATGTTTTTGCTTCAACGCAACATTTTGTGTGGTGCACACCACGTTTGCTTACCACCCCTTTTCTGTCTATTGGTTTGCCTAAAATCTGTAATCAAGTTTACTTTTTAGGGCATTTTCATAATATATACAGCTGTAACAGATTTATAAAAACATACAGACAATCTTAAAATTTAGATTCTTACCATTGTCTCACTGATTTTCTGCACATTGTTTACTTTACTCCATTTAGTAAATAAATGACTATTGTGTTTATTATCTGTTATACTCCACATATATTTATCTATGGTAGACTCCACAGAACACACTTTATCTTCGGTATTACTCTTGTAAGTCAAGCTAACATCTAACTGGGATATGGAATAAAACATAAAATGATAACCGTATTATAATAAATCAAACCTTCATATCAGATTACATTTAGTAGCTCATTGGCAGATTTTAGGTTCATACCGTGTTAATTGTATACTTAGTTAGGTTACGCAGTCGCTGTGCTCATTAATTTGTTGGTACAACGTTATATTAACGTAAAGTTGATATCTGGGTGATTGTGTTATCATTCTGCCAGCAACAATTACTATAGTGAGCTGCAAATTAAATATTTGATTATGTATAAATATTGGACATATAGAAAAAAACCCATCTTAATTGGTTGGATTATATTATTTATATTTGAATTACCTGGGATCCATGCATCTTTTTGTGGTGTATATCTATATGTGGCATATCAGGTTTGCTCAACACTGTTACACCATTACTGACTACAGGTTGAGAACAAACTTCACCCGAACAGAACCTCACACTACTTCTATATGTTTTACAATAATCTAATGCTACTGGTTGGAAGATTTGACCAGAATTTGATAGAAACTTCTTATCTTCTACATTGTGCCATATATCCTCTGTTAAACAATGAATAATAATTTAATAATAACAATAATATCATTTTAATATCAGTTTGCCGTGCAAAGTTCTTTATTTTTATCAACCATACAATTTATGTAAATTTTAACAATCGAACGCTACTACTCTACAGATTCTATTTTTTTTATTCTAATTATAAATATATCCAAATGCTATAGTCAACAATATCAACCTCTACCAATGCATTATATTCATTTATTTCAAAGTAATTCAATCATTTATTTCGAAGTAATTTAACTATTTATTTCAAAGTAATTCAATGATTTATTTCAAAGTAAATCAATCATTTATTTACCTGTGTTTTTCTGTCTCATTTGTAACGCCCATTTAATATCAGGATACATATGTTTATATGCATTTGATATTGTCCAATGTGCCATGTAATAAGATGTTGATTTTTGATAGTCAATATCCGACTCACAATCTGAGCTTGAATTCTGTGTTAGAAAAAAATGGCGTATAATATTTGAGAGTTCTTAATTGAATTTATTATAGATAAATAAATGAAAATGATAATACCAATAACTATTAATACTTCCAGTATCAGTTCAATAAAATCAATATTGTACTATTCTTATCTTACTAATATTAGGAAAATAGTTCACCTGTTGCGAATGGTGGTTTGGTAGCCAGGATAGTCTTTCTATGTTTGTTAAAGTGAAAAAAAGTAATATGGTATAAGGATAGGCATATAATGTGATGTTTTATTTGAAAAAAAATTGGATTAAAATTAGGAGTAAAATAGCTTTATATCCATATTACGCATTGTACATTGTCAGCAGTACTTAATATCAAATACAAGAGACATAAATGTGTCCCTTGCTGTCGGCCTACACCAACTATTGGTTTTATGAGATGATATTATAGTTGATGTCAAATGTTTATATCTACCAGGGTAATCTAAATTTAATCATCAATACAGTATTTACGAGGCAATGTTTATTCGTAAAAAAATGTGGTTGTAAGGTAATCTTTATTCGTAAACTGCACTGTAGTTATGAATAAGGCTGTTTAATAATTTACCCTTTTGCTGACAATCAGAGCCATCTTTTATCCGAACTTCATTATTCAGGTTAACATTTTTCTGAACTATAGTGATACCATTAGACGATGCCTTTGTTGTTCCAGCGTCACTCCTAGCTGTTACCGTTACAAAGTATGTCTAAAAATAGTAACAATAGTAATATTGACAAAATAATACCAATACATACAAATGTAGATTTCTGTAGTTGTGCACTAGACTAGTCAAATGTTCGTTAAATCTGACCCCAAGTTCACAAAACATTTTCAGACTTAAGTTAAGAATTTACTCAATTTTCAGTCACTGTTTATGTGAAATATCTTTGATCCAGAAACCCAAAACTTTGCACATAGTTTCTTATTGACGCATTTGATACACTGTTTTATAAAGGGCTATATTTTAGTTAAAATAAGGCGAAAAATTTTGAGTAATTTCTTGACCTTCTAATTAGCATAAATACTAAATGGCCGCCAAATGCTGCTAGATTGTCATCGACGTGAACGTCTACAGTTTGCCCAACAACACATTTGAGAGTCGGTATTGCGCATCAACTGCAGATGGCAGGACCAGAAAATGGCGTCGAAGTGGCCAGCGTTGCTCTGACCAATGTGTCATGGAACGTGACTCATGGGGTGGTCCAAGCATAATGGATTGGGGTGGAATTGGCCTGTACTAGAAAGTGTGTCCTGTGATGTTCCAAAATCTTGGTCCAGGGAGAGGAGGCGGCATCACAGCAGTGCGCTACATCGACCAAGCTCTCAGACCCCACGCCATACCACATTTCGCACGTCATCGAGACAACGTTTTCCAGCATGACAACGCCTGTGCCCACGCCGCCAGAGTTACTCGGGACTTTCTACAGCAGAACGATGTCAACGTTATGCACTGGTCAGCCCTTAGCCCGGACTTAAACCCAATTGAACATCTTTGGGATGAAATTCAGTGGAGACCAAACACAGCCAATGGATTGTGCCAGACTTTTCTGAGAGTGTGGTTCCAGGTGCCAATGACGTTCACCAATCGTCTGGTCCACTCCATGTACAGACGCTGTGCTGCTGTTATTGATACTCGTGGTGGATACACCAGGTATAGACTTGTGTACAGACTCTAAACCTTCTCGTAAAGTCTTGGAATTGTGATGAATTAATCACTAATGTGTCAACATTACTTTGATCCATTTAGTAAGTCGTTTTTTAGAATGATTTGATTAAGTGCCTCTATGATTTTGAAATCGTACTGGCGTTTATTTTGCTGTGGAGGCTAGGCCCAAAAGTCAATCGCTATTATCTCGGTTCAGAGTTGAGCAATTTGACTGAAATTTTCAGCTTATTCCCTGTACATTATGGTAGACACGCACAAATATCCAAAAGGAAAGGGACATCAATACAAAATTTTGATCAATATGGCGGCCATCTTGGATATGACGTAATAGTGACTTCACAGGGGCATAATGACATCATTTTTTGTTTTATTGGGGTCGACTTCCTATATGTCTGTAATACATTAGGCCCAAAAGTCAATAGTTAACAATATATCTGACAATCTAGCAGCATTTGGCGGCCATTTTGTATTTATGCTAATTAGACGGTCAAAAACTCGTATTTCGGCTTGGGAACATGTTTATTCGTATTCAGCACACCAAAATCATTAGAAAGGCCTGGTTCCCCACTTTTACTAAAAAATGCTCCTTGATTGTTAAGGAAGGCCTTTTTCCGGAAATTTAACCAGTCTACACGGGTCTGAAAGGATGGGGAGCATCTATGGACAGAGCAATAAGGAGATTTTTCTGACGAACGAGTATCTTGTAGCTTTTGCATACAATTGTTGCATTAAAAGATTATACTTACCTTGTGCAGCTGTAAATTAAGCCCGAGAAACGTATGCTGGGTCTTACTGCCAACGTTTTCATCTTTTATATCACTAACAAGTGGTTGTGAACCAATACCAATACTGTAAGTCACGTGTTCGGCCACATCATCAGATTCAAACCCAAACCATCTTGCTTTTAATTTAGTGGTCGACAGTTGAAAATTACTGTCTTCTAACTCCTAAAGGGAAAATTATATAAACATAAACAAATGTGTTCCAATAGAGAAATACAACGCAGATGAAAGCCTATGTTACAAAGGTATTTTGTAATATCCGTTTAGTGGATATAGAGGTTTCTGTAACCAGCTATGTAGATTGCAATACCCGGTCGAAGTTACCAAACAGCTAACACAAAGACATGATAACAATACCATTAGGTTATTATGTGCATTAAACTAGATGAAAAAGCTTACATGAAAAAGCATAGATGAAAAAGCTTACATGAAAAAGCTTACATTAACTCCAAAGTCAGCTGCCTCATCAGGTAGAACAACTTCAAATACAACTCCCTTTGCTGGTTTTCTGGTATTATGAATATATGGATTAGATGTGAACACACTGTGTAATCCAACAATGTTCTCTACTCTTATAGATACATAGTAGGTAAAGTTGTGATGTAAATCCCAATGAAGATTCTCCATGGAAAAAGCTGTACAGGTTGGTGGGTTAGCTAACATACAACTTCCGCCAGACGATAAGGAAGAATAAGGATAGACGTCTTCACTTCCCGGTGAACTACCTGTATAATGAAATATATACATTGCTTCTGTATATTCATGACAAAGAACAACCGTTTCGTTTTTCAGATCCGAATACAATTTTATGATGACTATTCTCCTAATAGTTGTCAGATTTGACCCCATTCCCGAACACTATTATAAACTACTTATTAAAAATATTATCTTCTTTAAAAAAAAGGGTTTTTCGCGAAGGCAGAACTCATGCATAAACTTACCTACGGCCGCTGTAAAGGTAAGTTGCGACGATTCCGGATCAGATACAGTTGCTGCTGACCAATCGGCTTCCAATATCTCATCCTCAAATTTAACCA